ACCTAACTGCGCTTGCATTGGTCCGAGGTTCAGCAGACATGGGGGTCTGCCGGCCCTGTTTGTCAGGTGGCGGAGCAGTACAGGCTGCTCCAAACGAGGGCGCTGGTGGCACGAGCACGGCCACACACTGTGTGACATTCGCAGATGCAGAAACATGAGGCGCGGCGCCCCGGCGCGTCACATCTGCGAAAGAGGGATAAGATGGGTTGTGTAGTGCAAAACGTTGAAGTGCTTCTTGGAATTACAGATTCAATTTGACCTTAAGTTCTAATATTTTTTTTCTATTTTTTCCAAGTGGGGTATGATCGTGAGTAGGCAGCACGATCTCCTTCACAGTTCGAACAATGAGATGTTTCTGAGGTGCAGTCGTCCGATATGTGTTGAATGGATGCACACTTTGTGCAAGTGGCACACCCTCTGCAACTATGTGATCCATGACCGAAACGTTGACACCTGAAACAGCGACGAGGGTTAGAAATGTATGGTCTCGCATGGAGCTTTAAATAGCCAGTTTCGATTAATTCTGGCAGGTCACTTGTCCCGAATGGAACTATTACGTGTTTTGTAGGGGTTAGTTTGTTGTTGTGCCTTATTGTTATTCGTTGCACTTTGACCACGTTCTGGTCCTGCCAACCTTCAAGCAGCTCACTTTCAGAACGCTCAGTAAGATCATCATCGGAAATTACGCCACGGACAGTGTTCATAGACCTGTGTGGCCCACCGAAACAGGGGTTTCCCCAAACGCTACAAGTTTAGACAGCTTCTCATACTGAGCTTTGTCACGAACCTCCAGAAAAAGATCCCCACTTCCCATCTTTGTCACTTTTAAAGGAAGGTATATAACAGCTGTATCTTGCCGGTACTTAGCTACGGAGCAGAAACCTGGAGACTTACAAAGAGGGTTCAGCTTAAATATAGGACGACGCAGCGAGCAATGGAAAGAAAAATGGTAGGTGTAACCTCAAGAGACAAGAAGAGAGCAGAGTGGATTAGGGAACAAACGGGGGTTAAGGATATCATAGTTGAAATCAAGAAGAGGAAATGGACATAGGCTGGGCATGCAGTGCGTAGGCAGGATAACCGCTGGTCATTAAGGGTTACTGACTGAATTCCCAGAGAAGGCAAGCAGTTTAGGGGGAGACAGAAGGTTAGGTGGACAGATGAGATTAAGAAGTTTGCGGGTATAAATTGGCAGCAGCAAGAGCAAGCACAGGACCGAGTTAACTGGCGGAACATGGGAGAGGCCTTTGTCCTGCAGTGGACATAGTCAGGCTGATGATGATGATGAACCTGGGCCTATTGCTTCTGTAAGAGTTTTCGACACGAAGAAAGTGGAAATCACTCTGACTGACTCCTTCGTTCTGGCTGTGGATAACATGGTACTTTGGGAATGTCGGCTTTGGTGTGTTAAGCAGGAAAATGTCTTCGGTGTGCCACCTTTTCAGGGAGCGACCAGAAAGGAGGGAAAAGCTTTCGCGATAAAAATACTATAAAGTTGGGTGGCGATGGTGGCCACCCACCACCGAGCCCAACATGGGGACGCTACAAGGTTGAAAGCAAACACTTGGAGATGCCAGCCTTACATCGCCGCTATAACCTGTTATAAATATCCTAGGTTGGATAGCTACACCACGTTAACCCTCAACGCCAGAAAATTTGGAAGTAAATGGAAGAGAGAAGATAACAGGACAGATAAAATGCGAGAGATAAAGATGAAGTTTAGGGGGAGAGAGATAGGAAAAGGCTACTGCGGATTTCCCCTGGGTGGGTCAGCCCAAAGGTGCCATCTATGTGAAGCCGGGACCAAAGGGGTGTGTTGCCTCTGCGGGGGGGGGGGGGGGGGGGGGGGGGCCTTAAAGGTCCAATTACCCAGCGTCAGCTCAACCCCCAGGATCCCTTTTTCTCCGGACACGGCAAAGCCACGCACGGCTGGGCGTGGGAGGGAGTCATAACTCCCCCGTTAGCTCGGGTCCGTGGTGTCGCTACACACCAAACGCCTACTTGCACAGGCGCAAGAAATGTCTGGTGAATTAATTAATTAATATAACTTAATCGACATAAATTAATAATTAATTAATATAAATTAACAATACTAATTTTCTTGCAATATGGGCTGACTTTGCTCATCCTGAATAAATGAAGGCATGATCAAATATGCTTAATTAGACTTGGCTGTACGTGTAAATTTTTTGCCCCAGCTGGGCACATCGCAACTTTACCACGCTTAACATAAAAACAGCAAGCTGGACTGGGCTTAATTAAACTCACTTATACTTGACGTTATTAGGTGATATTGTGTTTAACTAGGCTTGATTATACTTACAGTGACTTAACTAGGCTCATTTAAAGGGACACTAAGGTCAAATAACAATATACTTCAGAGTGAAAGCTCGATGTATAAAAACATCTAAAATGACAATATTATCAACAACAGTGCCCTAATTACCGAGAAATTAGGTAAATGCACAAGAACACATGCGCTGCGGTAAGACATTTTCAAAATGATCCCAATGACATCAGACGAACAATTAATCACTAGTGATCGATCTAGCTGCACTAAATAAAGAATCTTCGTGCATCAAGAGATGCAATAAAATGCTGCTTGTGGATTTCTGTTTGATTATTGGAAAAACGAACCGCCGGAAGTTACTATGAAAAATAGCGAGAGTGGTTAAAAATTTCAATTTTTCATTCAAAATTCAATCTAACGGGGTGCAGTTAAACCAAAAAATGTTCGTAATCTCGAAGCCAATGGCAGGAAATTGATCAATGGCCGTTGTTGCTGCTGTAGCTCCCGCTGCTTTTGGTCTGCTGCTACTAGCGCAGTAAAGCCAGGCAACGTTGTACACAGCAACAGTGACATGAGTCGGTCCGTTTCTTGGGGCGGGCAATTTGAGGTGCGCTAACCCGATGCGGACCACTAAAACGTGATTCTATTTCAAAATAGGCCCTTCCCTGGCACAAAAGTAACACTACGAGGTTTCTGAACCACTATTTCAACAATCAACGTCGACTTGATAGTTGCCTTTAGTGTCCCTTTAAGTTTCACTTGGCCTAACCCGACAAAAGCAAGCTGAGCTGAGAAAACTTAATTTTGTGTGCTTGGCCTCATCAGATTTTGCGAGGCTAGCTATGCTGCTCAGTTATCTAATCAACCCGCATAAATAACAACCTGGCTCTGGAACAGGCCTCGTCAGAACTGCTACGCTAAACCTCGTCACAACTGCTACGCTAAAAAAAAAAGGGAGCACAAATTCTATGGAGCAAATAAAGCGACATCCATTTGTCATTTTGACTGCGAACGCCATAACTGCTTCAGAGAAAGCGACGTGAGGGGCCAACTGATGCGACGGAACGTACCTGTGCACCACAACGGACATCTCATTACTAAATGGCGCGTCGATGCGTTCGGCCACCCCATCCCGTGTCCTGCACACTTTTGCTCATGCCTGTACATCATAAATGTGCCCATGAGATTGCTTGGTTTATGTGGTATACACTAACCCAGTGTTCCCATCGGTTTTTGAAGCACAATCAATGCAGAAAACTGAAAAACTTTGTTACAGGTGCACAGTTGTTATAGTTAGTGGCACAGTTTATGACACAGCAATTCATACCCAACTTTGCAAAGCACTGCTAACAACCGGACGCGGCTGCGCTCATGGGTTGGCTGCTACATGGAGCATGCCAGTTCCTTTCGTTCACTCTCGCATAGCAACGCCACTGGCTCAGCGCACGTTTCCTATATGTCTCGCGAATGTGATACACAATTTTCACATCAGCTCGCCTCACAATCACCTCTTAAAATAAGCAACTGCTCTGTTCCTGCATATCTTAATGGTTTACTAACTTTCTTACTGCATTCATTGACCGCGTGAAAGCAGTCACTTTTTGACCAACTTGTTCACATGAATGGTGCTAGTCACCAGTGTGAAAGAGCCTTTAATCTGACAGGAAAACAGATACTGTATTTGTATAGTGCCTAGACTAATAATTACTGTGGAAAGCTGCATCTAAACAAGGCTTCATCAAGATTGATAATAGTGTTGCCAGAAAAAGTTTGGCTCCCAAATGACCACTGTGCACAAGTATGCCATACCTACTGCCGATGGAGTAAAAGTTGTCACATTTTTGCTTCAATTTGATGTTTTAATGTGTGAAAATACTGGCATGAAGATTGAAGAACTATAAAACAAAAGAGCCAGATTTTTAAACAATGATTACTTATTTCATTATCAAAAGTTTTGCATACTTTCATGCCCCTATGTTTTAAGAGTTCTGATAATTACCGAATCAGGTTGGTGAAAAGAAAGAAATGTGGCCTCTCAAAATTCATATTTGTGCATTTGTAAAGTAATATTCAACAGTTTTCAATATGTTTTTTTTAATGTAAATCAACACACGTACTTCATCACTTTGAAAATTTTTATCAATGTTAAGTAAATTCCCATGCAGAATTTTTTTGGAATTCTCATTCATTACATACATGTGTATTTCTTCAATTTCAACAGGTAATGTTGAGGTCCAATATCCAGCAAGTGGCTTGCCCAACCGCAGTATTCATTTTCATCCAAGTAGCAGACAACATAGCATTTGGCCAGTGACACAAATCACGACAATGTTTTAAGGATGTGACAATTAGAAATGTCATTTTCAACATTTCTATGAGTGAAAATTTAAAATGAGATCACGGCTAGGTCAGAAAGAATAATGGGCTTCAGAGCTCAGTAACTGCTACATTTTCCTTTCTGCAGCTTATATATATAAAAGCAAGACAAAATAACAAAGTCGCTACACAGTAAGACTTTGACCTGGGCTGCATGCACCTATCTATGCACACGAAAAAGTAGCCCTGTAGAATTCGATCACCTTTCTTCAAAAACTGACTATCAGTCAGGTTCGTGGCACTTAGCGTCCACATAGTGACGACAAGCTGAGTTTACCTGGAGTGAAGCACCATCAACGAATTGTACACAAATAGAAGATGAAGTCTGGCTCACCGCTTTTAGAGGATCGTGGTTATAAATCAGCTGCTCCAGCACCGAAGTCTTTCCGCAGCCTTTGTATCCACAAACCATGATCTTGCTCGTCTTTCCGGATGACACAGGCGACTTGAGCATCTGCATATCGCGGTTTGCACTTCAGTTAAATTAAGAAGCTTATACGTGCTAGAGGCAGAATACTGTGCAGGCATAATTACAGGACTTCCTTCTGATCCATGCCCTGGACTATCTCGCCTTGGACTAGGAGTAAACATCATAGAAAGGACCCGCAAGAAGGAGAACACTCAATCAAGAAAAAACAAAGGACGGTGACTTGCGCGTATTCGGATTAGAATTCACTGAAAGGAAAACAAAGCAGTAAGTTACGGATGCCGAGCTGGCAATCTACTTAGACATCATCACAGCATCTTAGAGCACGCGAAGGTAACGCTCACCTTGACAGCACAGATTTCGCTCAGCAACCTCTTCAAACGATTATCTTCCGATGAGGTTTACCGGAGACTTCGTCCTTTTCACTCATGTTTCATTGGCTAATCGCAGTTTCATTCACGTGAAACAACCTCATCTTTCTTAACATCATTGCAAAAGCATCAAACTGAAACCAGGCACCTACGCTAAGAAAATTGATACCGATGTCTATGGTACCGACCAGAAGACGCATTTTCAGTGCCGGGTACTATAACTCAGCTCCCAAACCCTGTGAACATCACAACCTTTAAGATTAGCAGCTGGTACTCCGAAAAAAAAAAAAAAAAAACTGTCACGTTTGGACACCACCTGTCTTTAACATGTAGTGCACACGTACTAGGGGTTAGATGGGTTGGAAGCACTTACAGTCTTTCACTTTATAAATATACTAACTTTATCGTTTACCAGACTCACAACTTTAATGTGAGAAAAGTGGAATTCAGCCCACAATAGCACCTTTACGGGCGCTTTACCTACCTCATTAAGTAAATGTAGTAGATCATAATCACTATGATCTCGTAGCGTTACCTGCTGTACAATAATTCATAATCAAGAAAGTTCACAAGGCGATGGAAATCTGCGAGACGATTCATAAGATGAACCACGATACAGCTACTTGCGTCAAGGTAGTAAAAGCTGTTTCATACTTAGAGTAGAGAGTACTAAAAGTGTTGAGTGGCGTGACTGCGCTGACCGAGCCTCGCCGCCTGATTTCTTCCGCGTTGCCCGTAGCGGCGGCGCTGCAGTTGAATAGTACTGAAGGAGACGCGCGCAGGAACTGCTATGCACTTCAGCTCCTCCGGCGCGCTTTCTTGATGCATATTTCTTCGTACTTGCCCATCATTTATGTCTAAAACAAGATTTCATAACCCTTTAAATATGACTCGCCAATCTACTGATGTTGAGATCCATAAAATCCCTTGTGAGATATCGAAAATTATTTAGAAAGGGCGTGTCTTATTCTGATTTATTTTGTCTTGACTCTTTCTGCGTTGGCTAGGCGTCTACAGTATTCAGAATATCTGAGCCGATTTATTGGAAGTTAGCTGTGGTCAGAAAGCTGTGAGATGAAGACACAAATACCGTGTCAAACGCACGCAGAACCAGGGGGCCGTAAGTATAAAAGGGAGAGGAAGGAAATCTAAACTGCCTACACCTCGAACATTTTTTCGTAATTCAACTTTTCAGGGTATACTAAAATGTTTACACGCATTAACAGCGACCACCAATTACCAAAGCTGTTCGTTCTGCTGCACCCCTCCCCCCCTAAAAAATTTCTCAAATTTCCCCTTTTCGAGTATGAGGTCTCCTAATTTCATGTCTAGCGTAGTCAGACAAGAAATGCACCGCGTAAAACTTGCGGCTGTTCGAGGCAATGTATGAATATTGTTAATGAAGTAGTGACGTGTGACTGAAATGCGTGTACTTGTGGATATATATACATACATATATATATATATATATATATATATATATATATATATATATATATATATATATATATATATATATATATATATATATATATATATATATATATATATATATATATATATATATATATATATATATAAAAGGAAAGAAGTGTATACCTAAGGGCTCATTTTTCCGTGTTTTTTTTACTCAATAATAATGAGATCTAACAGACAGGGAACATATTAGACCAAATTGTAATGTAAATATGAAGAAAAGTGGGTGAAAAGATAACTTGCCGTGGGCAGGCAAGTTATCTTTTCACCCACTTTTCTTCATATTTACATTACAACTTGGTCTAATAGCTTCCCCTATACTTTCCTTGGCACTGTTAGATCTGATATATATATATATATATATATATATATATATATATATATATATATATATATATATATATATATATATATATATATATATATATATATATATATATATATATATATATATATGCTACCTTTCAAAGGTAATAAAGAGTAACTCTGAAGCACTACCACTACTGTCACCTGCCGGAGAATTAGCCGAGATGCGGGTGGCGCGGCCACCTCGTTCATTCCACCAGAGTACTTCAAAATACTCTGCCTGACATCGCGATAAGCCACCCTAATCGCGATGCAACTCGCGCTGCTATTGTGCGCCGGCAGCAGTTCACGCGTGCGCAGATGCTTCAAGGGTGTGGATTTGAACCACGTCGTCTGCTACGGCAAGGCGCGTGCCGCACTGTCGGCCAGCGCACGGATATCATTGTTAATGCGGGAACTGGGCCCATACTTCGCACTGATGATTTTCAGAAAAATCTGCGCCGCAAGATGAGATGCGAAGAAACGAGGAGCGACAAACTCGCGCGTGTTTTCTTTCTCCGTGTCCCCTCTGGCTGCGCAGTTTTTTTTTCTTTTTGTTTATATTCCCGTATCAGCCTGACCAACTTTCAACGCTTGTCTGCACGAAACGTTGTGCAATGCCAACCACTCTGCCTTCATTCGGGATAATGAGACACCAAAAACAGTATCTTACAGCATACCTTGTTTGCTCTATCGAAACATATCGTGGCACGTACTGTGTACGTTCACAAATGTTTCTTTATTGTGTGCGCGTCACAGTAAGCTTGGATGAAGAAGACACGAATGAGCATGCACCATGCGTGTTTTTTATTTGACTTTAAATACAACGATGCACTCAGTAGTGACTGCTGAACAAGTGAGCGGGTTTAACGCAACAAAACAAATGGAAATGAATCCAGGAATGATTTATAGACCAATTACCTGAACGTGCATCTAAAAAGATGATCCGGCTCTTTTCGTGATAACGCTATGGAAGGTACAGGATCAGGGCCATGATTTTTTTCTTTGCATTTTATACGCTTAAGTCAGTTCCCTCTCGTATATTGGGGCATTTGATATGCTTCCATTAGTTCCCTCTCGCATTTAAATGATTTCAATGCTGGGCATTGTTAGAAACTGGAGAGCAACCGCATACTCTGCGGTCGAGCAGGCGAGTCTCCTCCCGCTGATGTGACGGACGTTTCATGTTCTGTGAGCGTCCCGCCTGTCCTATGCACGCTCTACCACAACACAAGGAAAGGCTAGCCTTCCTGTCCTTCCTTTCCTCTTCCACCTACCACAAGGAAACGGTATGCGATACGTCTGACATCTAACAAAATATTGAGCCCTTAAATGCACCCTTTTTTCCTGACATTTGCGAGTAATTCGGTTAATCTATTACATGGCCAGTAGTGCAACTGCCTCTTCCTTTACGGTTTTTAATGGTCTCCCGAAATCGCAAAAGCATTGCACACTGTGATAAATTACTACCACTCGCCTACTGTACCCATTTTCGCGCATTCCTGAAGCTCCATTTGTCTCTTTTTTAACTTCCATTTTGTTTCGACTCAACCCTGCGGCCTTTCAACGGGAGACTCAACGCCGCAGCTTTTCAGCGAAGGCTCTCCAAATGCCGCCTAATCCCCTCCGCGATGTTCGACGTATGCGTCACTCCCACAAAATGCAGCTTAATTCTGTCTACTAATGGTCTTTCAGAGCAGAATAATAATAATAATAATAATAATAATAATAATAATAATAATAATAATAATAATAATAATAATAATAATAATAATAATAATAATAATAATAATAATAATAAACGGGGGGGGGGGGGGCAGGGGTTATTGAACAGTACTTTATTTTGTCAGTGTCAAAAGGGATTTTCCAACTTTTGCTTCTTTTTCTTAAAGCGGAGTAGCTGTGGAAGTACCTGTCGATGGAACAAATAGGGATCGGCGCCGAGTCTTGGAGAAAGCAGTGTCCCCTTTCCTCCTCCCCCTACCACAATAAACAGGTCGCTGGAGGGCTGTGGGCCTGCTGATGGCCGTCCAAATATGTGTATTGTTCTCCCGACAGTGGAAGTGAGGCGTTATGCAGCCCGACACGGCAAGCTCTACATGGTTCCCGGGGGAAGTGATTTGTAAATGAAAAGAAGAAAAGTGAGCCCCGTAACTTTCTTTCAGGGGGAGCACATTTCAACAGTAGCTCACAAGGAATTGGGATAAGGAGAGATTAAAAGAATAGGATTAAGAGGAATAAAGATGGAGATAGCGGAAGAAGAGAGCGAGGCGCAGGGACAACCACATATGGAATAAAGGAGAATATAGGAAAGATGGACACGGTCGCAGGAGTCTGAGGACGGGGCACCACTCGGTGAGAGCTCTTGTCGGCACCAGGAGATGGCGTATAGGCGAGCCAGTCGGCCAGAGCTGCACTGTCGTCGGAGATCGCGGGGGCAGAACCAGTCGGCACGAAATCCAGTGCAAGCGATACCTATGACCCAGCCGTTTTTCGATCGTTTTTTTTTTTTTCAAATCAAGATCATATCAAGACGTTGGCGCCACAGGTAAAGTGTGGTGGCAATGCCTATATAGACAAAAACGACGACGTGGGCGGACTTGGGCTCAGTGGAGACGAAATCTTCGTCTGGTTTCACAATATATTTGTCACGTAGCTAAATGGTTGTCGTGTAATTATTCTGAATAAGCGTCAAGTTTCCTTCAGTATCATGAAGCTACCTCGACACCATCTTTCCGGATCTCCTGCTCCAGAACTACCGAACACAACACTTCAACAACCATCTAGAACCGCTGATATATCTCTGCAGAGTTGAATATCGTTTATAATCTGTCATATAGAGGGTTCTTTTTTTATTTGGCAGTTTCGTCAATTATTCGATTACACGCATGACGATATCTATGGTAAAACACCATGTAAAATTTAGATTACCTTTCTGAATATCTCGTACAGCATATGCTGAAAGGAGGTTGATCGGTCTCATAGTTTGTGAATGAATGGTGCAATTGATCGCGTCGTGCGTTGATGATCATTTCGTATATGCGCACGATGGGAACTTATCGGGAGAAGAGGATGGGTGTGAGGATGGTTGTTACGTCACTCGTATGATGATAAAAGTGATGATCTTTAGCGAACTATAGAAATCAACCAAAAGCACGAAAACAGCAAAGGAACGAGACAGGGCAAATAGTGCAGGACTAACAACTAAATATTATTAATGAAAGCCCCCACACGCATGAACGATCAGCGCATACGTAAATAGGCTATCTGAGCCTAGTAACGTTCCAAATTTAATAGTACTAAGCCAACAATTAAAAGTACGTCAAGGTGTTGCGAACAGCGCATTTCCACAAAACGGCAAAATATCAGCGTCACGTGCAACCCTTGACTAAAAACTGAGGGATCACATCACATATTGATTGATTTGTGGGGTTTAACGTCCCAAAACCAC